ACTTGGCGAGCGGGGGATGCCCTTCTTTAAGCTACTAAAGAAGACAGACGACTTCCAGTGGGGACCCGAAGCACAGAAGGCCTTCGAAGATTTCAAGAAACTCCTCACCGAGCCACCAGTTTTAGCCTCACCACACCCGCAGGAGCCGTTGTTGCTGTATGTATCAGCCACCTCCCAGGTTGTGAGCACTGTCTTGGTCGTTGAGCGCGAGGAAGAAGGCCATGTCCAGAAAGTCCAGCGACCGATTTATTTTGTCAGCGAGGTCCTAGCCGACTCCAAAACGAGGTACCCTCAGGTTCAGAAGCTGTTATATGGTATTCTAATTACTACCAGGAAGCTATCTCACTACTTCCAAGGTCACTCGGTAACGGTGGTTACATCATTTCCACTCGGTGATATACTGCACAACCGCGAAGCAAACGGACGTATTGCTAAGTGGGCTTTGGAGTTGATGTCTTTGGACATATCATTCAAGCCCCGAATTTCAGTCAAGTCCCAAGCGTTAGCTGATTTTGTCGCCGAATGGACCGAGTGCCAGGAGGATACCCCCGCGGAGAACATGGAGCACTGGACCATGCATTTTGACGGATCCAAACGACTTTCGGGCACTGGAGCAGGAGTGGTTTTGATTTCCCCAACTGGAGAAAGATTGAGCTATGTGCTTTGGATACATTTTTTGGCGTCCCACAACGTCGCCGAGTATGAAGCCCTCCTTCATGGGCTACGGATTGCAATTTCCCTAGGGATAAAGCGTTTAATAGTTCGAGGCGATTCACAGCTGGTTGTTAACCAAGTTATGAAAGAGTGGTCCTGCCTTGACGACAACATGATGGCATATCGACAAGAGGTACGCAAATTGGAAGACAAATTTGATGGACTCGAGCTCAGTCACGTTCTTCGACACAACAATGAAGCCGCCGACAGACTTGCCAATTTTGGATCCAAGCGTGAGGCGGCGCCCTCAGATGTTTTCGTCGAACACCTTTATACACCGACCGTACCTCATAAAGATATTACTCAAGATGCGGACACTCATGACGTAGCTATGGTTGAAGTCGACTGGCGAGAGCCCCTCATACGATTTTTGACTTCTCAAGAACTCCCCCAAGACAAAGATGAAGCCGAGCGGATTTCAAGGCGGAGCAAACTTTATGTTTTGCATGAAGCCGAGTTATACAAGAAAAGCCCTTCAGGAATTCTGCAACGCTGCGTATCTTTAGAGGAAGGGAGACAATTGCTAAAAGACATACATTCTGGGATATGCGGAAACCATGCTGCTGCACGCACCATCGTCGGCAAAGCTTACCGGCAGGGTTTTTTCTGGCCTACTGCAGTGTCCGACGCCGACAAAATTGTGCGCACGTGCGAAGGTTGCCAATTTTTCGCCAGACAAATTCACTTACCAGCTCAAGAGTTGCAGACTATCCCGCTGTCTTGGCCGTTTGCGGTTTGGGGGCTCGATATGGTTGGCCCGTTTAAAAAGGCAGTCGGCGGTTACACGCATCTCTTTGTGGCCATTGATAAATTCTCCAAGTGGATCGAAGCTAAACCGGTTGTCACGATCACAGCGGACAATGCTCGAGACTTCTTCATCAGCATTGTGCATAGATTTGGAGTGCCCAATCGGATCATCACTGATAATGGCACACAATTCACTGGCGGAGTTTTTAAAGACTTTTGTGAAGACTTTGGAATTAAGATTTGCTACGCTTCAGTGGCACACCCCATGAGCAATGGACAGGTGGAGCGCGCCAATGGCATGATACTTCAAGGGATTAAAGCGCGTGTTTTTGACCGGCTAAAACCCTATGCTGGCAAATGGGTGCAACAGCTGCCATCAGTACTTTGGTCTTTGCGAACTACACCCAGTCGGGCCACAGGCCAGTCACCTTTTTTCCTTGTCTATGGGGCAGAAGCAATGTTGCCGAGTGAAGTTGAATTCGAGTCTTTGCGCTTTCGAAATTTCCGTGAAGAACGCTACGAAGAGGACCGAGTGGATGACTTGCACCGATTGGAAGAAGCCCGCGAAGCAGCTTTGATTCGGTCGGCTAGATATTTACAAGGGTTGCGGCGCTATCATAATCGCAATGTTCGATCTCGTGCCTTTTTAGTAAAACAAGCACAAACCAGGACACCAAGGCACAAAAATTTCGCTCCAGGTTCTCCATTCACTAGTCACCACCACTCCACCAGTCGGGCTTGAGTCGGCGGCGGTGACGAGGACGGCGCGAGACGGTGGTGGCCGGGACGGCGCGAGATGTCGGGGGCGGGGACGGCGAGCGACTACACGAGACGCGGTGGCCGGGACGGCGCGAGACTTTGGGGGCGGGGATGGCGAGCAACGGCGGGGTCGAGGACGGCACGAGACGGCGGTGGCGACTGGCGAGGACGAAGCGTGGGGGGCGATGGCCGGGACGGCGCGAGACGGGCTGACGGCGGTGGCACGAGACGGCGACGGCGTGAGGGGACGGCGGCCGGCAGCGCCAGATCCGGCGCGTGGTGTCGCCGCCGCCGCTGCAAATCCTCACCCGGCGGCTCTGTCTCTCGCTCTCTCGGCTAGTTAGTGGCCGGCTAGACAGTAGTACACTAGTTACTAGTGTGTTGCAGTGTTGGGCTGGGCTAGTGACTACTGCTAGTACTAGTGTGTTGGGCTGGCCGGTTGTACACAGGAGGTTTTATGGACTTTGTAATGTCGGAAATTCCGAGAAAGTTTTCAGAAAGTTTCCGACCGATTCCGAGTTCCGACGAAAACTGCTATTATTATTTTTTATTCCGTTTCCGAAAAATATTTCCATTTTCGTTTTCATTTCTTTCGACCGGCTGATTCCATTTTCGAAAACTAGTCCTGAATCACCCCATACGTCTATGCCCCGTAAGGAGCAAGAGTTTGATGTGTCGAACTTCATGAATTAAATCCCTAACTATCATAGTATTCACTTCAGTTACTAGTCACATCAATCTTGACACAACATCAAAAAAAAACATCAATCTTGACATCTTGATGCACATCTACTGCAAAAGGGCACGTAATGGAAAAATAATTAAGAGAGAAAGCCATACACCATTGCCACCGATCTATTTAATGCTAAACTATATATACTCTGTAAAAAAACGATTTTTAGGATCTTTCATTTATAGGAGGATTTTCGTAGGATTAAGTTCTCGTACACCTTTTCCTACATATCCCGTCCTCCACAAACAAAAAGTTTCATCACTACTATTTCTTATAATATTGTATTCCACTATCCAAAGTCCTGGGTCTTGCTTTAGAATTCTTTATTTGAAAGAACTAGAAATAAAATATTCAACAACAGGTTATCTTTCGAAAGAATGCTTACAATCGGGCGCCCGATATGGAAAGAAAAATCGGATGCCCAACTCATACTGCATGTACGCCAAAATTTTTCGGGCTTCCTCTATCATAAATCATGCATGCATATGATCTTTCTCTGCATGCAGCGCATCATGCACAACAGCGCACCTTCAAAATTATTTATCCAATCTGGGATCCGATTACACCGTTGTATTTATTGCAACTAAATCTTTACAAGAAAGTATCATATGATTATAAATATATACATGTTTCAATCATTTTGGTTTAATGTTTCAACTCATCTTCTACTATGTTGCACATTTCTTCATTTGTAAATGTTGCATTATTTCAATAAATACTTTGTGATGTTTCAATAGTTATAAAGTCGATGTTTCATGTGTTATATAAATATGTCTCAACTAAAATTATAATAATATGATTTTTTTTTCATCCGAAACATAAACGTGTGAGATCTTGTTGCGAAGATTTAATTACAACAAATAAAACAGTGCAATTGGTTCACAGATCAGATAAGTAGTTAAAAAAATGTTTTAAAAGTTTAATTAAAAAACAACTTTAGATGGATGCATACACTGTTAAGGCTGTGTTCGCTCATCAGGGTTGGGAACCCATCTCCTCTACACGGAAAACGAAACGGTCCATTAGCACGTGATTAATTAAGTATTACCATTTTAAAAAAAATGGATTAATTTTATTTTTTAAGCAACTTTCGTATAGAAACTTGTTTGAAAAAAACGCACCAGTAGTTTGAAAAGCGTGCGTGTGGAAAATGAGAGAGATGGGTTGGGAAAAAGGGGCGCCAAATACAACCTAAGTCTGTTAAAGATAGAGGATGAGAGCATGTGTGGTAAGTGCTCTGAGCTGAGAGGATGAGAGCATGTGTGGTAAGTGCTCTGAGCTAAGAGATAGAACTAAAGTAAATCATGCACATAGGCAGCTAAATAAAAGGAAAGACAGAGCGTTAGATTTTAGTCTAAAAGATCGAGCATCTGATCCATAGCGTCCATAGCGTCGTTGTATCTTTCGACACAAAACGGAGCCAAAAATTTGGTCAATCTCTAATCCTTACCAAAAGACGAGTAGTGAGTAGTGAGCTTCCACGTTAATTAGGAACTACTCCCTCCATCCCTAAATATAAGAGATTTTGGTTAGAAGTGACATATCCTAGTCCAACGAATCTGGACAGAAACCTATCCAGATTTGTTGTACTGGAATATGTCGCATCCCACCAAAATCCCTTATATTTAGGGACGGAGGGAGTAGTACATACTTTATTTGTCAAACCATATAATTAACACTATATAATACTCCAATCTAGTAAAAATTACAACATAAACACAATGTAACTATAATGTGATTGGTATATAAGTACAGTGTAACTGGGATAGAATGTAATTACAGTGTAACTGCATATGCAAGGACCATGTAATTGCTTCGTTTTGAATATTAATATAATTTTGGCTTTTGAGTCAACACAACTACTGTGCTCGGTTGGTTAGGAGCTCTCTACGACTGAGCAGGTCAGCAATCGACTCAGATCAGCAATCGACTCCCTGCTGCTGCGTAGCCCGAATCTTAATGGCCAAAAATTCAAGTATTTTTTAACAAAAAAAAAAACTGACGACGTACTTATAGCAAGTCCGTTGTAGACTGGGAAGACAAGGGCAAACCATAATGGACTCCATGCATCTTTATTTTCCATATAAGTTTCAAGACTGACAACTGTACCTCAGTGCCAATGGCAATCTACATGTATGGGGCTGTGAAATTGACTTCAAAATGGTAGCACTTAAATTTGTTGTAAGTAGTATAGAGGTCAGGGTTGCTATCAATCAGCTAACCCAAAGAATAGAAGGCAGCTCAATTAACCCAACTGCATCATATATTCATATATGGTGTTATTTTTTAGATAGGTGGTACTCGAAGCATCCTAGAGTTCTGGTGGGGGCAGGCAGAACTGATAGAACTGTATCTTCAATGGCAAATCAAAGATTACTGTTGCAATAATCCCACCAGATCATATACGCTGTTTGTATAAAGATCTGGATGGATAGTATTTGAAGCGTCCTGAAGTTCTGGTAAGGTAGTCACGCCTGCGATTATAATGCAAGTCCAAACGGCATTTGAGACTTGATTGGGCATAAGGGGTAAGATTTTTCTACACATATGGAATAATAAGAGAAGTTCCTCACCAGACAGAACAAGTAGTGTTTTGCAACCAGTGTTCTGGCCAAATAGTATGTCAGTGTCTAGTCTGTCACCGACCATGCACATTCTTGATGTCTCCAAATTGAAGCTGCAGCATTTCAAAGAGTAATAAAGATTTAAAGGTGACCTCTAAGCAGTAACTGTAAATCAATACAGGAAAACGAAATCATTGTGTGTCTTGTCTTCTTAATGAGGATGAAACATTATGAAATTGTCCATGGGCGTTGGGATGGGAGGAATAGCACTAGATCTTATGGGCATAGTAAGAAGATGGAGAGATCTCCGCAGGGAGGACAGAAGAAATATGTGTACGATTTTGTTAGCTCTTTGCTCAATTAAATCAACAGGTTTGTCAGGACTTTTTAGCGGCAGCCCTAATGAAAAACTTGATCAAAGGACAACTTCCTAACTAGTAGGTGATAGTGATACTACTGCGTACCAATTAATAGGAGATAGGCTACCAAACAGAAGCAAACCAAACCCTAATTGAATTGAGAATTTGAGGCCTAATGCAGTATCCACAGCACTTTTACTTTAAAAAAAAATTCACAACACTTTCATAAAAACCATATTAACAGAACACTTCTCCAACCAAAACAAATACTTATGAATATATGTTTCTCCATCCAACATTTGTTCTTCTAGTGTCATGTTACTCGTTTGGTTTAGTCCGTTATTCATATGGCTTCTAACTTACAACCTCCTCAAAATGGTACTCAGATGTTTGGGCGTTGGCTTACATGTGTTCCTAAAGACATGAGAAATCTGTTTTTGATGGGTGCAGCAGCTCTTTGTTGGTCCATTTGGCTAAGCAAAAACGGGGTCATTTTTTACAACAAGATGGTGTCTTTCCTCCTTTGCAGATTATTGCTTTAGCCGCCCGATGGCTACGCACCTGGTCCATCCTCCACAAACCGGGTCTTCAGGATACTATTGTGGTGGTATTGCGGCGTTTGGATCAGGTGGCACAGGAATTTTTCGATCTAGTCTACGGTTTGATAGTCAGTAATTTCCCTGTTTTGTGTTGAGGGTGTAGTTAGGTCCTGTTTTGTGGCTATGTGCATTTCATACAGAGGCCGGGAGTGGGCTCAGTTAGAATGTATCATCTTGGTGTATTTGATTGAGTTTTTTTTTTTAATAAAGCTTCCATTATCGGAAAAAAAATGAATATATGTTTCTGGCTTGGAGTTCTATTAACAACAATTCACAAATATGACTTACTTGTCATTTGTCAACCCCACCAATCATGTAAAAAAATCCAAACTAATGAATTGCATGAGCCTATTAGTTGGTATCCTATCTCTAGTTATTAGCCACACAGCAAACCCTCATGTAGGTTACATGGATTTGTTTTTCTAAATTGGTCGGTATTGCCAATTTGTTTAGTCAGTGCACATTTAAACAATCTTAGAAGGTTTCTAGATTTCTGTTGCAAAGAATTGATAATGCAAATGCTTGAATGACTAACAAAATGCCACTTTTCTTCGTGTACGTCACAAACCTTTTCAAGAGGAAGTCCATTAAAAAGCTTGAAGGTTTTCCAACAACAATGGGCTCTTTCTGCACAGAGCAACTAACAGCAGCAACCATAGTTCCCGCTCCTGTTACTTACAGTGATCAGGAAATGAAGCAATAAAGAAAATGGCCAGTAGGATCATGGTTCAATAAATTCAAACCTGGCCATTCTTGAACGGATGTCATATGACCAGTAGGATCACGGTTGGTCGCAATGAAAAGACAGCCTGGATTCTCACGAATACACAAGCTCGCATACCTGCAAGAGTAGCATTATGATTTGATCATTACAAAATTTCATTGAGAAAATAGTGGACATAGGCTTAGGTGGTTGTTTTTAATCTTTGTTTAGATATACTAATTAAACTATGTATTAGGAAAAATGTGTTGTCCTGTATAATGTATAGACAAAATTCCAATGTTCTGATTAAAAACAAACAGTTCCCTCTGCATGGGTGGTCACTATTTCTGTTCTTGCAGGGTGTAAAAACTCCATGGCCATAAATATAAATCTAAGAAACAAACACTAGGTTTCTCCATACAACAATAATCTGTTGACTGTTGCAATCAATAAATCACTGGCAGCAACCGGAATCAGGAGTAACTGAAATTGTCCATGTCCCCACTCCCTCTTTTCTCCTGCAGCACCTTGTCCTACACCATTTGCTTGCTGAGCCATCACTCTGTACCACCAGCGACATCAAGAACATATAGTAGCTAGCAACTGCTGACCACAAGGTGTCCATTTGACCTGATGCCTGCAGTGCCAACGAATCCATATTTGTGGAGAGATTGAATAGGGGAAAAGAAGGGCTCTGTACAAGATTTGGCTGTGGAGTTCAAGAGCAGAGAGAAGAGCAAGTAAGGAGGAATGTAAGAGAGATTTTTCAGCTGGTTATTTAGACTTTCTCATGTCTAGACTCTAGACCAAATTAACATTTTTTTTAGTATTTCTGTCAAACAAACTATTATGTAAATAAGGGTTTTTTTTTTTATTTGACCACCATTAACTCTTGTCTCGGTGATTTACCTCCCTTAACTCTTTAAACCAAATAAATTATCCACTGCTATTATGCTAACAAAGTAAGAACTAACTAATTTTCCAAAAATCCCTATTAAAACATGTTTTATTAAACTAATTTAATTATTAAGATGCAAACGATCAAGAAAGGAGCAAACCCACATTTCAACCCAGAACTATTGCATTGGTCCAGAAAACACCCTAAACTATAAGACCGCCCACCATTCATCCCTGAACTATTAAAACCGGTCAAAACGCCCCTTTCACTTAAAATCACCCCGGTTTTACTCAGCTAACGGTGGTTTTATGCTATGTGGCATCCTAATAGACAACATTTGCTGATTTGCCATGCTGATACAAAACAAAAAAATAATGGAAGAGCCCACTGGTTAGGGAAAGCTCCTCACCCTGGCAACTCATTATTTACTGCTAACACTTGTTCCTCCTCCTCTGAGCAGAAGGAGCGAGAATTGAACCAAGGCCAAGGAATGACTAACCGGACATATGGAATGACCTCAAAGCTAGTCCCACAGGAAGCATAGTGAACGGAGCTAGCAGGGTGTTGTGGCCACCGCTCATGGTTTATAACCACATGCCTCCCACATTGCCATCAGACCAGAGAAAAGTAAAGCAGGGTAGACCTCAGCAGCCGCAGAAGAACGCAGGCAGTGGCCAAGCAAAATTTTACCCCAAAAATCTGGGAACAAAACACGATGTAGCATCCACTTTTGAATGGGTGAAGTACCCAAATGAATTAGTTCTGCTTGTTCAAGATTGTGTTTCAAACAGCTTAGTAGTTGATTTTCAGAGTCCGTAAAAGTTGAGGGATGAAAAATGGACTTGTTCTTTAAATTTAGGCATAAATTTTCATTTTGCATAAAATAATTGAAAACTTTGGAAACACTCCAAGTTATTAACAAGGTGAATAAAACATCATATCAACAGAATGCTTGGTAGAAATATAGTGTTCTTGCTGACTCTTGTTTCAACTCTTATGTCCTGAATATTCTCTTGACAATCATGCAAACAGCTATTAGTAACTTCCAAGTGATACTAAGCTATTCTACTAAGGTGAGGGGAAGCTACAGACGGAAAGAGAAAAGGAAGCAAAAGGTACTACAAAACTTGTGAAGGTACTAGGGAGGATAGAAATCTTAACCATCAGTTGTAAAATTAGTGGTGCATCCAACACACAAAGAATGAAAGGAGGGGGAAAAAGACCAATGGGCCTGAACTATTTGTGTGCCATTTCCCCACAAGTGGGGATCATTCAACAGTTTACCCAGTAGGGCAATCGGCGTCAACGATTCACATATCCTGTGGTTATGCTTAAAAGCTTAAAAGATGTACAGAATTCTTTTCTTTTTTTTTGTAAAAGATACTCTGATGTCCATTAACCCCACAGCTTTCTCATGGATCTGCCAGTAAGTAAACCTCTAATACATTGTAGAAGGGAAAGGCGCAAAGGTTAAATTTGGTACATTATATGGGTAACTGAAACAAGCACGTGTTGTGATTGACAACGAAGATAAGATTAAAACAAAAGGATAAGATCATAAGAGGCCTCACTGCATTTTGTAGTAGTTGAAGTACTGATCAAGTCCAACAATGACAGCTCCAACCTGGAATAGATATTTCATTAAGCTTAGTCTGCATGATTACATTCAGACTGATCTACATAAGATCAAAACTCCGATAAAGAGGTTTTGATATTACACTTTTGTCATGTTCAAAGTAGAAGTTTGCCTCCAGCAATATGTTTTTCTTGCCATCCTCCTGTAGAAAACATCATTAGTTAAATGGGAAGGTGAAATATGGTAAGATATCCCTGGAAGGGGAATTTCAGTTTTCAGTCATTCAGCAACTGTCCCTTAAGATGGATAAAGGAAAATCCACCATGCTACATTTAAGAAACATGCTTATGTGACTACAATATTTAAGCATTCCTCTGGCCACTGACTACAATATTTATCCAAGTCCAACTGCAGCTGTTAGAAACTCAAAATTTGTGTGGATACTTCTGGCCCATTTTATTTTCAACAACACTGGTGATGCTGTGTCTGTTACTTTCAAACCATAGGACGTGGCCTACGGCAAGCATATATCCTCTGTGGTGGCCCACTAATTACTATAGCTTCTTCACCGGTGGCTAGAAAAATAAGACTCAATATAACAATGCATAGGAGATACATACAAATGCAAGCATTAGAACTATGCTGATGCATCATCAGTGTTAGGTACATAGAGGAGACCTGCTACAAGTCAAAATTCTAGGAAGCATTAGATGCACCAAGAATAGAATATCATAGTGAAATAAGAGGAACCTCCACTGCAAACATGAACCGAAGATGGAATAAGGAAAATCTACCTAATTTGTAAGGGAAGGAGTAAGGATGCCATGCTTATCTTACCGGGCCACCTAAACATTCAAAACCGGCTAATCTGAGCTCTTCCAAAATACCATCCTCACCGACAACATAAACCTTAAGAAGAGAAGTTTCAACTTTGATCAGTATTACACGAGTGATAACAAGGGCACAAAATACATGAAAAACCACTGTTTTGTGGTACACTAACATAAATTAAGTAGCATGGTAAGATCAACCATCGCTATTTGTCCCTTGCATAAATGGTCTTTTAAATATCTTTAGCAGATACCAATTCTTAATCCTGTGGAGGTACTTTTATCAGTCAAATCATAGTTAATGCTTATCACAACTTAAAATTGACTTTATTGAGTGTATATTGTATTATTGTATAGACAACTTCAACCTGGAGGTTAGCACACAGCTACACACAAACTATGCACTTATTTTTTTTAACCTTTTCTAATACAATTTAAGACTAAATACATGTGCATCTTGTTTCAACATCTAAACCCTTTTTGCTGTGCCACTGTAGCATACAGGCTACAGCTGGCATAGCAACACAGCTCTGCACCAGAGCGAAGTCGTGCTGTGGCAAGAGTTTGGCCTCGCCACACCATTGCTCATGAGGATGGTCCGGTGGTGTGATAACCAAAGCTGTCACACCAACAGTGTTACTGGCAAGAAAAAAGGCTCAGAAAGTAGAACGGAATAACAAATGTGAGAGTCACTTTTTGTCATGAAGCTTCCTGCATATATGTGTTACACTATTCCTAAGCCAATGTTTTGTTAAAGTGCCTTAATAGTTTTTTCTTGATGAAAACATTAGTAGGAGTAACTGTTAGTACAGAAGATATTCAACACCATGTCTAGAAAGCAGATTGAAAGTAGACTAAAAAAATACCTAAATATTAAATTCGAATATTTGGTACAGTTGCTCCTTTTTGCCTGACATTTTGACCTTTCACAATCTTCAAGATGCAACTTTGACCATTAATTATTATAAACTTACATTAAGATGTGATAATAAAATTATAAAATTGTGAAAGCATCTATAATAACAAATCTAATGGCACACATTTTATTAAAAAATCTAAATAGTTTCAAACATGTCAGTAGTCAAACTTTATAAAGGTTGACCACATGTATTTCAGGGCTTCGAATAAAAAGAATGGAGGTGGTATGAATTAGTGGTACCTTCTTTTCTGGAGAGAAATTATTTAACTTCAAGAACATGGCTGCTGCAAATGATGATGTAAAGATCTCTTCCTGCAGAGAAGATAACAATTATGGAGTACTACGTAACAAATAATCATGATACAGGAAACTATCATCAGAGGAATCTGGATGTATAGAAACTACCTCTGTAACTTCAAGTCCAAGTGCTCTGAACTTCTTCGCATACTGTCTTCTCGACTTTCTAGAGTTGTTCGTTACAAAAACTAATTTCTTGCCCTGCACCAAGTCAATGCAATAAAATCATCTACTTAACCTATGTATAATGGACTGGTGCTGTATTTATGAGCTAACCTAAATACAGTGATGTTCTCAGAAAGTGTTCTAAGTTTCATATTAAATGCCCAAGATAAAGGCAGTAAAGACTTATGATGGATTATGTTATGCCCCGCCTATTATGTCATAACTCATAATTATATACAGTCTATACAGAAAACTTCCAGTTTATTCAAATAATTAGCACTAGAGCCATGTTAAAGCAAAACCATATTGCATCATCAAGGGAAAAAAGGTGTTTATAACAGGTAATATTGCTGTTTTTATATACATTCTTCCGTTTCTCCTCCACCCTTTTTCTGCTTTTCCTGTAATTCAACCTGCCATTGCAGATCATTCCTCTAAGCTTCTTCTACTTATCATTTTCATGTATTATAAACAATGTTTATGTACTTCCGTAACTATGGTAGCTAACAGCAAAAATACATAGTATGCAGAAGTTGATGTTTTCCTTCATCTTACAGAGTATCCAAAATACCAAATAGGTAATCACTACAGAACGCAGCCATATGTATTAGTCATTTCATCCCCTAGTCATGGAATAGAGATCTATTTTCTCTTAACCAAAGACTAGTCTTACATCAAGGTCAAATTTGGTGTGCCAAGAAGAAAACAAATACAAATTTAGTTCTTAGTCTTAATTCTTCCAGTTTATCTATAACTGAACGGTGCTCTGGACTATGCTAAAGATTTCACTCAGGATGGTATCCTATGAATTACACAAGCAACTTTAAATTCACAACTTCTTTTTTTTAAAAAAAAACATCAGCAACTTAGGAAGAAACATATCATTTTCTTTTCCTATTCACAGTCTTGATGTACTTTGATCCATCCGATTAGTGAGTTTATAAAACAATGAACAGAATACAAGAAAAGCAGCTGTAAGTTGTAACTGTGATTTACTGTTATTAACGATTCCAGTCACCAAACAAAACCCTAATCACAGCTAGCAGGATACAACGAACTAAGCAAATGTTGTCGCTAGTAGCACAAACCATTTTCCGCAGGAGGTCCAAAGTCTCAGGGACCCCTTCGATTAGCTGATCCCCCTTCCAAATCACCCCTGCAATCCAAACCAAACAAAAGTTACTACTGGAGAGCAACAGAAACAACAACCCTAATCACAACTTCACAATCGAACAGGTACTCCCCCCAAAAAAAAACCCAAGAAATCTCCCCCAAAAAAAGAAGGGAAGGAGACGAGACGATGATGGATCGAATACCGTCGCAGTCGAAGAGGAAGGCGTCGACGGAGTCGACGAGGGATCGGGCGGCGTCGGCGGTGAGGAGGGGGTTGGGGAGCCCGTTGGCCATGGATGGATGATTCCTTGGCTGCTGTTTTCTGCTCCGCCTCCGCTGGTTTTTGGTGAGATTCGAATGTGCCCCCTTCCAACGACGACGCCACCGTTATAACAGACGGGGAGGAGAGGAATATGCTGCGGCCTGCGGGCCGAAACTAGGGATGAAAACGGAGCCAATACGGATAGATAATAATGTTTATATCGTATTAGTTTTTATATTTTTTTACCAGATACAGTAACAGATACGGATAGCTTGAATATGGAAACAAATATGCATTATCTCGAATACGAATAAGAATCGAATTTGATCGGACATGAATACGGAAACATTTTTTTCTCGGAACACAAAAACCAACTCAACTTCTAATAGAAACAAATATCAACGTATATAATTAGCTCATTTTATATAAAATAAAGTATAATTTATAAATATTTTTAAAATTTTAAATAATACTCCCTCCATTCCATAATATAAGGCGCAACCATTTTTCTTAGATGTTCCATAATATAAGGCATACATGCAAGTATGCAATTAACTATGGCATTTTCTCCATTAAAGTATTACTTTTTTAAATCCTCCACTCTCATGTTATCTAATCCTATTGGATGCATGTATTAGTATTTATTAGGATGATCCAAACTACAAGATGATAATAATTATTTCTTGGTCTTTGGGTTAAGGGTGGTTGTGACTTATATTTTGGAATGAAGGGAGTATTAATAGTATGGACTAGTGTTAAGAGATAAACTACTATTAAAATCTATAAAGGTATATTGAAGGTTGTATAGTTAGAAAGAAATGTGGTATGTCTCGTGGCTTCTGCGGATATCCGAATTATTATCCATATCCGATGGAAACCCCGATACCATATCCGTATTCGTATCCGTATCCGAACTATCCGCTCCGTTTTCATCCCTATCCTATATGGACGGATGTGGTACACACCGTGGTGCCCGTTCAGGAGTTGTTTGCGCTCTGTCTTGTATACCACGGTCTCCGGTCGAGCCTATAAGTGTCGGCTAGGTCTTTCGTATAGGAGGCCCCATTGTAACATAAGTGGGCCTTGGGGGCTCGCTCACCTACCCTTCTCGCCAACTTTTTTTTTCTTACTTTTAGTTACTAGGCAAAACTTTCCATGATCAACCGCGTTTAACTGGATTCTGTTTGCTCAGATGAGTTACTTCGCTCACTACTACTCATCAATTGAGTACATGGAGTCAGATGCTCAGATGGACAAAAACAAGCCAAATTATGATCAACTTTAAGTATTGTTCATGTATTATTAATCAACAAAATTAACTTTTGTAATGCAAGTATATTTTAATTGATGCAGCATCAAACAAAGTAGCACCCGGCAGGGATTAAATGAAGTATAATTAGCTCATTTTATATAAAATGTAGTATAATTTATAAATAATTTTAAAATTTTAAATAATATTAATAGCATGGACTAGTGTTAAGAGATAAACTACTATTAAAATCTAAAAAGGTATATTGAAGGTTATAGAGTTAGAAAGAAATGTGGTATGTCTCGTGGCTTCTGCGGATATCCGAATAGCACTGTTCACCGGATATCCGAATTATTATCTATATCCGACGGAAACCCCGATACCATATCCGTATTCGTATCCGGGAGAAAATATCCGTATTCATATCCGCATCCGAACTATCCGAGAATTATCCGATCCAAAAGGTATCCGTATCCATATCCGTTTTTGTCCGGAGCGGACGGAAACTATCCGCTCCGTTTTCATCCCGTTACGGTGTGCGACTAGTACCAAATAATGTCCGAGTCGTCTGGCTAATGATTGTCGTAAACATAGGGCGTGTTTGGTTACGTGCACGGAGGGTGGCTCGCATGCGCGGATGCAGGAGGTTGTTTGGTTGCCTGTACTGTTGTTGGGACCCGAATCCACGTATGCAAAAGGGCCTCTACACTCTACAGCCAGACCCGCGAGAAACGCTTGAGAGGAGTCATCCAGACTAGGCTTGTGCAGGCGTGGGGATGCGTGGATGCAGGAGAGCAAGAAGAGTCACACTCCCATCACCTCCCTCTCCCTCATTTGCTTGCTCGGGCGCTGCTTAACTCGTCACTAGGGTGGGCAGAAAAAGACCGAACCGAAAAGACCGAGACCGAGACCAAAAAGACCGAGGCCAAATTTGTCGGTCCTAACATTTTTCGTCGAAATTCGGTCTTCACTTTTCAAAGACCAAAATGAGCGAAAGACCGAAGACCGAGACCGAAAATTTCGGTCAGACCGAATGCCCACCCCTACCCATCGTCATCTCCGTCGCCGCACAGCCGCTGGCATATTCCTCCTCTTCTCGTCGTAGCCGTCACCATCTTCTCCACCAGGAACTCATCCTTTCCTTTCTTCAGCGACTGGGCCAGCCGGATCCAGTGCCCACGAGCTCCTCGGCGGTGGCAGCCAAGAGCTCATGGCTGCTAGACCCAACGGCGGCCTATCTCTGATGGCGATGACACCATGGCTGGGGCGAGGTCGCGAGCGACGAGCAGCAACCAAATCCAATGTTAGCCAATCAAGAGGCTAGGACTGCAGGGACCGGAAGCGACAAGTTTCAAGGTGAGCGGTGGCGTCGCGGGCAAGCTGCAAGCCGGCTGGTGTCGTGGGGGTGGCGCTGTGGGCGGAGAAGCTCGTCAATGCTGCGATCTTTCTTTCCTTTTTTTTTGCCTTCCTTTTCTTTTCTTTTCTGTTCACCAATTCAAGAGTATATAATAAAGTACTCCCACATCGATCGATATGTTGTGCAATGTGCATGTCTTACATTATTGTTTTTCCCTTTTACCGGTTCATGTTGCCTATTAAAAAGTTTACTTGGAGATAATACTGCAGGAATTTTAAACACCATTATTATTGTTTATTGTGGTAAATTGTTTATGTACTAGCCGATTAAACTATAGTATACTTTTTCATACACTGTTACAGAGGTAACATCATCCAACTAAATAAAGAGGTAAACACACTCATATCCATATAACCAACCAAACAAAATCTCTTCCATGCCAAGTAATTGACAGGGTTTAACTTTTGATCTATTTTCAAGTGGCTGATAGGGTTTCACTTTTCGAATTCAAAGTAAAAACCGTTTCTTACCAATTTACAAAAATTCGACCGAAAACCGGTAAAACTGATGACTTTGATTAATGTTGTATGAAAACCGACTAATACGGACCGGCTTTCACAAACCGAGACCTAGCGGTCTAAACAAAAACTGATCAGCTTTCGTGAAATTCCATTGGTTATGTGAACCTTATTGGCTGACATATGAGCTTAACAGCTCATGGACCCACATGCCATGTCAACGACCTATGTCAGAAAACAGTACGTCAAATGTCAGCGACCTATGCCAGCGAGGACGTCCATCATATAGCTTGTTAGGCAGCTCCTACTCCAGTAGTAGCCGTGATGAAATATCGAACCCCGGTGGTGTTCGCTGAAGTTTATTCATGTATTCGTGAAAAATGTTCTGATATTTCCTTATTTTAGTAGCACTTTTAGAAAAATTGAAATTTAATAGGAATTTGATCTTCTCTGAGATATTGCAGTGGAGGTTTCATACTGGTGAGGTATTCTTGATGGTTGTGTTCCTCTTTGATCGACTTCAATGGATATGCGGTGGTAAGATCTGGGCAAAGGAATAGGTTAGATACTCTCCGACGTTATCTTCCGCTTTTGTTCGACAACATGATATATGCGAAATACGATCAGTAAAATGATTAGTCATGAAATTAAAATAATGTTTTTCTGTAAGAAATATAAGAATGTCATTAAGAACAAACATTTGGTATGCAGCTTTTCACACATCATCGGTGGAGATTCTTTATATTTGAGGTGGTGTTTTGAGGTTGAGTTCGAATGTAAGGATTTAGAGCTTCTCATCTGTGCACAGTGGCGAAGCCACTGTGGGGGCCAGGGAGTGCCAACACCCCCCTAACCTCTATGTGACCTCCCCTCCCCTCTATTCTCCAAGGGTGAGTAGCCCGTATAATCTAGCCATTAATTACACCATTAGTCGCGGATGAGACTAACTATGTAGGACAACTACCTAGCTATATAAGATTTCTGAAATGACTTAGTTAACTGGATTTTTTTCTGAAAATAATACGATTTTAATGGAAAATCGCAAAAATATAGGTCGGTTAGGCGAAATCGCAAGTTTAGCCTTCTGTCGTGCATCCGTGGTTCGATAGGGTACCTATTGAACTGCCCCAATTCGACAGGGTACCTGTAGGTGGAAAAATAATTTTTAAAAAGAGAAAAACACTGTAGCATCACTGTAGCGCCACGCCTATCGAACCGGCAATGTTTGATATGTCCCTGCCGCACGCCCCCATCGAACTTCCCATGTTACATATGTCCCTGCCAGGTACTGTAGGACGTACTTTTTTATTTTTTTTCTTGAATCAACTACCCTGTCGAACTGCCACGGTTCGATAGGTACCTATCGAACTACAGTTGTTCGATAGGTTCCCCTGTCGAACCACGGTTGTTCGACAGGATGCTAACCTTGCGATTTCGCCTAACCGACTTATATTTTTATGATTTTCCATTAAAATCGTATTATTTTCAAAAAAAAATTCCTAGTTAACTGATTCATCCTTTCAGAAGTGATTGCAAGACTCCAATTAAAATCATGGAACAAACTGTTCAATCATTCATATTTTAAAAATATTAGTGATAAATTGGAGAATCATGATCTATGGGTTCTAGTTCTCTCTTGTAGCTAATCGTTGTAACATGCATGATGCCTAGTTGCCGACCACGCATAAACGTTACAAATCACTGAACGGTAAGTGAGTTCCCACGTCTCATAGATGGCACCCCCATCTCTAAATCCTGGCTTCACCACTGTCTGTGCATACAAAACGGAATGACTCATTTAACCTTTTTATTGAACATTTTTATTAAAAAAATACTGTTTAGTAGTTTGGAAAACGTGCTCACGGAAAACGAGGGTATAAGTTGGGAACGTCCCTTGCCGAATGCGCCCCAAGTAGTTTTTCAATTAAGCTGTGATTTTATAATTCGTAATCATTCGTCATGCAACCTTTTTAATAATTGGATGTATTTTCTTTAAAACA